TGTGGCGTAAAGAGCCTGGAAAACGATGTGCCGCCGCCGCCCATGATGAATATTCTTCCGCGGTAACCGGTTGTGTCGTCAACAAGTCCACCTCAGGCGTGCCGTTCAACGGTGATTATAGAAAAGATTAAAGAGTATACGCGTGGTATAAGCGAACCCAACCAGGAAATAAACGATCCAGTCGAAGTTCGACCCGGCCAGCCAGATACGAAGTGAAGAAAAGAATGTGGGTGTCCCGGGACGAGCGGAGTGATGTAGAGAGAGAGCGCGCGGATGGGGAGGAGGATCCAAGGCTGCCGGGAACCAAGGGTATTAGAATGTCAAGCCTTGGGAACAAGCCGAGTCAACGTGCGCAGATCAGGTGCAGATAGGCAAAGCCGTAAAACCTGGGTAGAGCGGCACGCTGTGCTGAAACCGACAGGGCCTGTTCGGTACGGATGTGGCTCAAACCGATGCCCCACGAAGGTGCCGTATACCAGGAGCCGTTAAGATGGATGACAGAGGTTATGACTAGGGAGGGACGTGATGCAGAGGAAATCCGGTGGCGCCAAACCTGAATGGGCGCAAGGTCGGATTTTGAGGTATCGAAGTTGGGGGAGGGGTTTGCTGCTATGCGCGAGCGGCTAGTGTGTGAAGAGCGTCTCAGACTTGAAGCGCCAGGCACAGAACCATGTTTTCCTTGCAAATGCGGTCGTATGTTCGGAGCTCAAGATCTTCAGTTGCTCTTGGATAATGCGCAGTAGGAGTGCAGTGTATGCCGGCGAGTGGCGAGGCGATTGCCGTTTCGCTAGTGGGTTTGTTGGGGCTGGTGTTGGTGAGGCTGCGAGGCTTGCGAATCTTCACGATCTACAACTGTTAAACTTCAGACGTGAGTACGATCTGACAGATGGGCCTGAGCCGCGTGGTAGGGTTTCGGACGGGATTTCCTGAGGCGTGCGATTGACCGTTGGCAGATGGGCTCCGATTCTTTTGATGGGGTTCACGACGGATAGGCGAGGCGCGCTGAAACGATGCACGTTGGAAGGCGGGTCGTAAAGGGATAGGAAAATCAGGACGGGTATCTGAATGAATCGCTGAAAGTGGTATTCGCTACGTTATGTCGTTAGGTTAGATGCAGAGGCTGGAACTTTGGGATTGATGACTGCAGTCGCGGAGGGGATAGCGTTGGCAGGTACGGAAGGTACGCATTGGGGTGGCGGATCTGGTTCTAAACTACCGCCCCTTGCGCAGAAGACTGCATCGAAGACGCGAAAGACACATGGTAGGAGCCTGTTGTGGCTTTTGCGTTAGAACCGCCGAGGCTTGAATTCATCGCTGTTGAAGGCTCTCTGTGCTCGTGGTTGGTAGCACCAAATCTAACGGGCGAGCATTGGCGTGGCGCACACGGCCAATCAGGGGCTGTCTCGAAGCGCTCGAGGAACCCCCACAAAGTTTGAGCCCGCTACTGCGCTGTGCTGGCTGCAAGTGTACAAGATCTCGCCTCTATTTTGGGACCGTCTCCATCGTACACGGCTCGACGGACGGCAGCATGCGAATTGCCGGCCTCGTGGATGGCCGACGATATGAAGAAAGTCTTGTTAGTCCCGCCTTAGACCGTGATGCGGGAAGCGGTGTGCAGTGCGAAGAAAGCCGAGAGAAGTGGTTCTCGGCGATGTGATAGATGCTGAGTGATGGTGGAGGGCTAGATTCTGGCCTGTCTTCAACTCCGACATCTGGATTACACTATCATAGATTTCCCAATTGGGAAGCAGCGTAAACAGATGTCACGGTCGCGCCTTCCTTTTGCTCGCCGTTGACCAAAGCACACCCGCAGAAAACAACATCAGGCCATTGTTCTGCACACAACCACACATGCCCTCTGATCGACAGCCTGTGAACCACGTTCAATTCTCCGACAGGAGCCCTGCCAAAAGCTTCACCATGAGTGCGAACTGATACCGAACGAGTATCGTACCACTTTGTTTTGCGTCAACGTCTGCCATGGCTGCCAGCCCCCACCGTGACGGCATTGACAGCCACGAGGGCATCTGAAGTAAACTTTGTCGTATGATGTTGTTTGATGAGCAAGCCTGAGGAACCAGGAGCGAGCTTCGATATGATCTTCCATGCAGATGACTGATCATCATGCGCCAGGTTTACGGTTGGAGAACCTGAGGCACAGAACAGAAACCGGGACTCAGGCATCCGTCGGGACGGATTATCTGAGTGCTACCGTGCCGCACGTGCGATGGCGATATCTGCGGAGAATTACCTATTCGATCAGAGTGGCCGATTGTTCGCACTGCGCTGGTTTCATGGCTATCGTGTACGTCAGAGCCAGCGGTAACGCGAATCGGCTTGCGTAAAGGCGTTTTGCAAACTCTTCGCCGCCACCATCAACGAAGTAGCGGTATAGAATTGAATCATGACTTGGATAATGTCTCCGCCGAGAGACAGTCACCAAGTCTTAGACAATGGCTACAAACCACGTGAACGCGAAGATTCACGCCTAGCTCCGCCCTCGCTACACTACCTTTGCCAAGCTAGCGAGCATCAGCCGTTCATAGGATTGATAGGATAGACTAAATTGGCGGCGCGATCCAGGATACTGGCACCGTGGCTGCAGAGAGGCTGGCGTCGCATGCAGCATCACAGCAGCCCAGCCAATCGCGGCCCACACACGCCCAATCGTCCACGAAGCGGGTCAAGCGGCTACGAGCGACCATCTCTCCCCCCAGCGCGCGCCGAGCCAGAAGAAGAGTGCGACCAGGGTGCGCGATGCAAGGCCCTGGCGCATAAACTGTCTCTACAATTGCGGTCGACACCCGCTGTCGCTCCCGATATACTGACACGCCTGCCGTCGCGAAGCTCAACGGCAACACCACGCTGCCTGAACACCTAACACGCCTGATACTCGCCTACGCCTCAGCCCACCATAACACCTACCCACTATACACTCCACTCGAGTTGCTCCGTGCCTGATCTCCCCAGAAGCCTTACCGCTTTCGCCACGCCTGCGAACCGCCCATCCGCGACCAGGCCAGTGTCTATAACACAAAACCTCGCCCTGCCACACCCAAGCCCATCGATGCTCATCTGTCGCTGAGGGACTACTGGTAGTCGAAGGGACATTTCCACTTTCTTTTCTTCATTTTTTCTATTTACCCTTATTTTCTCACCTATACGACCGCGGGCTCGGTTTATTGCTCGTATCCTTTCTTTATAATACCCGTATTTCGACAATGGGCAAGTTGATCAAGAACCACTGGGCGCGCCTCGTCATCCTCACGGCTGCTGCGTGTAAGTCTTACCCCACAGCCATCAACACCACCACCAACACCATACTAATTACAACTCCAGATCAAATAGGAGCTGCACTCGAATGCTTCTTCTGGCCCAAGATCTTCTGGGACTTTGCTACCAAGAACCTCGATGGCGCCGTAAAGCCCATCCCCGTACTCCAAGTCATCAACATGATTCTCGGCTTCATCGGTCTAGCATGGGAATGGCCATTGCCACTGCTCGCTGGCACAGGACTGCACCGCTCGATTGAAGCGCGCCTGATCATCTACCCGCTCAGTGCGCTGTGTGCGCTCTTGATCTACCAAGGCACCAACTCGGGACTCTACTACATCATCGGCATGGGAGCGTACTTCTGGGCGTTTAGCGAGGGCGAGGTATGTACCATTTCATCCCTATTAGCCATCGACGTACTAAAGTTATTCAAGGTCGTCTGCCCCGAGCCATGGACTCTCCCCAAGCGTGGTTCCACAGCCCGCAAGATGACCGCATAGTCTGGCCCTTCCATAGACCGCAACAACAATGCACCTCAACTTCGCTTCTCAACAAACTATACCCCACACACGCCTTTCCATGTACAACGTCCACGTAGACGACGTATCACTCCCATATCTCTGGCAGACCACCCACCATGATTTAGCGATTTTCCGGAACCGCCCCACGAGCGGGGGCGTTCATACTCAGCATCTAAGATGAGCAGCAGCAACATTCATCTCACGATACCAAAAATCCCCAACAAACGAGCAGTCGAGCATCCTATCCCTACCAGAACGCACCGAACGATCGCATTTACTATTTCACGGCGCCATGCAGCGAGATGTACGGGCGCTAGGTGTTTGCACTACTTCACAACTTACAAACGAAAACAAAAATGAATCAATAACACAAAAACACATCATTACGCATTTTGCTCACTGCACTTCTCAGTTCTTCCACATATCGCTCTCACCTAACGTTGCCATTGTACAAGGATTCACCTTCTTGCCTTGTTGCTCTGACTGCTGTGACATCTCTGACATGACAAAACCTGAGGCAACTCCTCGTTTCAGCCCCATCCGCACCCCACAATTTCCTTGCCCGTTTTGAGAAGCCTTTGGTATGCAGTGTGTGCCTTGGCCTAACGAGCTTCTGACAGCTTGCGCCTCAGTCAAGATTGTCAAGGAAATTGGCTGAACCCCTCTCTGTCGTAGCCAAGGTGGCGGTGGAAGCAAAAGTGACATGCGTGGCGTATTGATTAGTTTGTACAGCCGACTCATACTGTAGTACTCTGTATCGAAGAACGTGATGGTTACATGCTCTTACCGCGCACAGTGATGAAAAGTGATACTTGTGGCTGTTTCCGATGAATTGATCTGGGTTGATGCGCTCCGTCTGAATGGAGAGATGGAGTAGTAGGTCGTGTCTTTCTTTTTTTATTTATACGAGAAGCGGGGATTTTAACCATGGAAGGCCATGTTAGAAAGCTCAATGGAATATCAGCAACGTAGAAGCCTGAGAATTTACACAGAATGACAAGAAAAGATACATATACAACACGTACCTTGTCTATGCAAAAGAGTCAAGGTCATAACATCGTGTTGAAAAAAAAATGAGTTTCTACCCCCCACCTCTACATAAACACCGTGCACACAACTTCAACCGCCAATATCAACACCAGCAAACCCTCAGATCACTCTTGTACATGTACAAATTACCACCTTCAGAGATCAGTGTCATGAACTTTACTGCCCCTCCGGCCCCTCAATCAAAATCTTAATCCCCTTCCCTTCCTTGACATCCGCAAACGCCTTCTCCGCCTCATCAAACTTGACCTTACCCGTAATAAGCTCTTTGACACTGATCCTGCCGCCCGCAACGAGATCGATGGCAGTTTGGTAGTCGCCGGAGCCGTAGCGGAAAGAGCCTTTGACGTTGAGTTCCTTGGTGCACATGGCCATGATGGGGAAGTTGATGTCGGGTTTGCCCATGCCGCCCTGGGTTGGGTTAGTATATAAGGGAAGGGGATGGATGAGGGAGGGGGTATGGTGGGTAAGAGGGGATTGGGGAAGGGAGTGAAAACATACCTGAACATAAGTCCCCCCCATCCTCAACGCATGAATAGCAGTCTGAATACACGGCTCCGCACCACTGGCATCAATAATAACATCCGCACCGGCACCAAGCCCACACTCCTTAACCAGATTCTGCGCATTCTCCTGCGCACTCACTCGCGCAGACTTGAAACTCGCGTTCGCAGCGTACTTGAGCGCAAAGTTGAGCCGCTCGTCGTTGATATCGACGGTGACGATCTTCTTCGCGCCGTACGCTTTCGCGACAGCACAGCACAGCAGACCGACGGGCCCGGCACCGAATACAACAACAGAGTCGCCGGGCTTGATAGAAGCTTGTCGCGTAATGTGTACAGCAACAGCCGTAGGTTCAATAAGCGCACCCTCCTCCATACTCATATTGCCCGGCAATTTATAGCAGTAATCCTCCGGCAGCGTATAATACCTCGCCAGCGTACCATCATACGGCGGCGTCGCCGCAAACGCCATATCAGGACACAAATTGTATTTTCCGTCTTTGCAGCGGACGCAGCGGCGGCAGGGGACACCGGGTTCCATGGCGACTTCATCGCCCACTTTGAGGCTCTTGACTTTGTCGCCGACGGCGTGCACGATGCCCGCGGATTCGTGGCCGAGCACCATTGGCTTCTCGACAACGAAATGCCCGATTCGGCCTTCGACCCAGTAGTGTACGTCTGAACCGCAGATGCCGGTCCATCGGGGGCGGACGAGGACGTCGTAGGGGGAGGGGAGAGAGGGGATGGGCCGGTCTTCGTATATGACTTCGTTTTTGGCTTTGAGGATGAAGGAGGGGTTCTGGGGGTGTGTGTTAGTTGGCTGTAGCTGTAAACATGGCTGGAACGCGAGGACTGTTCGTAGTGTTGTAAAGATATCGCATGTTTGGAGGGGCATGGTGGGGCAATCAAGCTATACCTTCTGGGTTGCTGTTTGTGTCGCCATCGTGAAGTATTGTGAGAATTTCAAGTTCAGTCGCAATCGTTAAAGAATCAATTGTTTGGGAAAGAAATAAGTAAGAACACGTCCCTCAAAACCTCACGCGCAGGTGAAATGCTAATGACGATACAAACGGTGGATCCTAGTAGCCCTCGCGGCAAGCTATCCCGCCTGGGTTAGCAAATGCCCCTCCATTGCAGGCGGGAGTCTGGAAGCTGTCCAAATTATCCGTATTAATTATCCGGCGCTTGCATCACTGTTCTTGGAAAGCTGGAGTGGGTTATCTCGGCGTTGCTCCGAGGTCGCTATTGCAGCGCCGCGGCTATGCGAATGACCAAACCAAATTGCGCATGTTCCGGTTCGTGGGACACCTTGCCATTTCGCCTTAGTGTAAGCTCGCCGGGTCTTTTGAGAGGGTAATGTGCGGCAATCTTGGTTGGAATATCTCAGCTGGCCTTTGAATTTTGCCTTTTCCAACATGACCACCAGCAAGTCACGAGTGCATCATCGTCTTGATCTTCGCTCGCCTCGGACGGGCCCCAGTCATCGCGTCCTTTCTCTTCTCCTTCTTCCACTACCTGTAGCCCGAGCTCTAACATCCGGCGGCGAAAGTCCTTGATTTCAGGCAAGTAAGCGTCTCGGTATGGAAACTCGATGATCACTGTAGCGTTGTCGTCCGGAGACAGCCAAACGCCGATAGTATCCACCAACATGCGCGGGTGGTCTGGAGAGTAGAGCGAATCTGCAGCAAGAATCAAGGGGAATTTGGCAGGAATGGATGCGTCGTCGCCAGTACTGTTGTTGTCTGGCAGCGGTTCACAGGAGGTAGGGTCTGTCCAGTCCAGCATAGCTGTGCGGACTGTCCCGCCATTGAGACTGACGGCCTCCCGATTCTGTTGCGCATTGTAGGCCAGGTTCGGGCAGATGCTGGGCAGATCTGTCAGAACAACGTCTGCGCCTAAGCCTGCCATTGCCAGTCCAACCAAGCCCGTACCCGATCCAAGCTCAAGGACTTGTAGCCGATTTTGTGTGTCCGAGGAGACGAGATGGAAGGTTCTGAGGCGCTTCGCAAGCATATAGGAAGCAGCCCAGGTCTTCAGGCCCAGATCGTCGCCTGTCATGGCAGGCTCGTGGATCTGAAGCTCGAATGCGTCGGACGAGGTGGGAATCTGGAAAGTGCGCGACATGGTGCTCATGGCAGATCGACCGGATCGCTCACTGAGGCGCGCGCTGGCTTGATCCCATATGCGCTCCTTGACTTCATCGTCTTCTATCCATTGCAGCCCGCTACTGATAATGGTCGTGAGGTATCGTGTGACGCCCTCTGGATTGACCTGAACTGCAGGCTCGCGCGCCTCTATCACTGCCTTCCCATCGCGGTCTGTGTGCCTTGTAGTTGTATATTCCCACGAAGGCGGAGCGGTGGTAAGGAGCGCGAGGGTTTCGAGGAGGGCCTCGGCGGAGGGCTTGGTGTAGAGTTGCGGTAGGTCAAGGACTAGACATGGATTTAGCACCAAGACATGCAGATGCAAGGCGCAGATGTATACCATCTAACATGGACATTTTGAAGCGACTATGGCGAATGCGCGGGAAAATTGTTGGTCGGTGGGGTGCAGTACTCACCAGGTCCAGCGTGGGCCCAAGCTAGCCACCGCGGGGCTAAGATGCAGGTACCACAAGCAGATATTCTGATAGTCCAACGCTGCCTATTCGCCGGTCTCAAGCCTTCTTTAGGGTCGTCTTAAAGCCGTAGTATGCTTGGTCCATGTCGAATTGGAACTCGCGCGACTGCTCGTCGCTCAGTTTCTCGGCGGCCCGCATTTGGTTCAGAGTAATCAGCCACTGCACAATCTTGCCCTTATTCTCGAATTCGACATCTGTGACCTTGTTGACAGCCTGGATGATCTCGACAAGGAGAGGGTGTAGGGTGTCTTTCTCCACCAGCCCGATCTTGATAGCGTCGAGCAGGGTGATGAAGGTCTCGGTCGCGTTGACGACCAGCGTGGCGTCAGCAAAGTCGCCTGACTGAGCTGGCCGTGATGGGCCCTGTTCGATGGTAGCGGGTATGCCGACGCGCAGTCGTTCGATAGCTCGGGGACATTCCATCTGGAGTCGTGTCAGCCTAGTACTGGAGAAGCTCAAGACTTGTTATAACATACATGCCACTCCTTTGCAAACTGATCTAGGTCACCGAATGCTCGCGCGACAGTCTCATTGGCAAGATTGGACTTGTACTGCTTCATCAAGCGGTTGCATGTCTCGGTGTAGTCGGCTTCGGCGATGGAGTCTTTCAAATAGGCCTTTTCTATGGCGTCGAGCGTAATGATGATGCTGTAGATCTCGGCCAGCGAGTCGTTCAAGTCGCGCTCGGCATTGGTCGTGGAGAGCTTAACTTCCTGGGTAGATAGTGAGTATGCGCATGCGGAGTGGGACTGAGGCGCGTCATACCTCATCAAGGTTGATGGTTGCCGAGAGATTGGAGCGCGGAATGTAAGGCGTCGGCGCGTAGGCCAGCTGCCTGCCGTAGGACATTATGAATTATGAGGCGACGACTTGATCTTTCGTGCAGGGTCGCGGGCTTAGTTGGGTGGTGCACAGTCGTGTTATCGATGCGCCGCAGCTCATCCATCGCGTGGGGAAGGCGCTAGGGATCAGTGCAGGGTCCTTAGCGCTGGAACTTTTTCGAGGCCCAAGTTTTTCAACCGCCAGCTGCACGCCCGGCCAACAACACCCTCGCGCCTACGAGGAACCGCCAAATACCGCCGACATGCCCGTCTCCAAGGCGACCAAGAAGTTCCAGAAGGACAAGCTCGGCGACGTCATCAAGCGCCGCAAGGATGTCGCCAAAGTCAAGCAGAGGAAGCAGATGGACACCAAGAAGAAGGAGCGCAAGGCCCGCGACAATGCCAAAGCCGACGATCTAGAGGAGGAAGCTGCGAAGAAGCCCAAGACGAATGGCGCCAAGGACGACAACCTGGGCGAAATGTCCATGGACCAGTTCTTCCAAGGCGGTTTCCAGATCCCCGAGATGAGCAAGAAGAAGACCAAGCCCAAGACCGGCAAGCGCAAACGTACACCTGTCGAGGAGGATGCGTCGGAAGGCTCTGATGAGGACATGGAAGATGCGCCCGACGGCACCGACGAGTCCGGCTCCGAAAGCGACTCTGGCGACGACGCAGACACCCACAAGGCGCAGCTCGAAGGACTGGCCGAGAAGGACCCCGAGTTCTACAAGTACCTCAAGGAGAACGACGCCGAGCTATTGGACTTTGCCGAAGACGCCGACCTTGCAGAGATTGACGCTCTGTCTGCCAGTGAAGACGAGGCCACACCAAGAAAGAAGCAGAAAGCCCAGAAAGCGCAAGAAAGCGCATTCGACGACGAGGAAGACGCGGGCAATGAGCTTGGCTTGAAGACAATCCAAAAATGGAAGGCTGCCATGGAGACGAAACATTCCCTGCGCGCCATGAAGGAGGTCGTTCTGGCCTTCCGCGCTGCATCACACATGAACGACTCGGAGGCTACTAAATCATACAAGTACTCCATAACCGACCCAGATGGTATGATATTCAATATCCATCAAACAACTGAGCTAATAGAATATAGTATACCACCAGGTTCAAGTGACTACTCTTCACCTAGTACCCAAGGTTCTCCAACATCACTTGCCCGTCAAGGAGAGCGCTGGAGGCAGGATGTAAGTAATCACCCTACTTCTTCAGGATATTCACTAACAATCTCAGTCGCGTTGCTACCGACTCGAAGAAGTTCCGCACACTTACTCCCCTCCTCAAGTCGCATACCGTCTCGATTCATCACCTCCTTGAGAACCTGTCCGATGCGAAGACCCTCCAGATGACGCTAGACTCGCTCTCCCACATGCTCCCATACATTCTGTCCTTCAAGAAGGTCGTGCGCGAGGTCGTGCGCTCTGTCGCATCAGTCTGGTCGGATAGTGCCAACAACGACGGAACAAGAGTGTCGGCTTTCTTGGTTCTGCGACGACTAGTAGTCATTGCCGACCCAAGCATCCGCGAGGCTGTCTTGAAGCAGGTATACCAAGGCCTCGTCAAGAGCGCGAGGAATACCACAATCCACACCATCCAGGGTATCAACCTGATGAAGAACACCGCAGCCGAGCTCTGGGGCATCGATCCCACTGTCGGCTACACCACAGGCTTCGGCTTCATCCGCCAGCTCGCGATACACCTACGCACAAGCATCACCAACAAGACAAAAGACTCCTACAAGACCGTCTACAACTGGCAGTACGTCCACTCGCTAGACTTCTGGTCGAGAGTCATCTCCATGCACTGCGAGACCCTCCGCGAAGCAGAATCTGGCAAACCCTCACCCCTCCGCCCCCTCATCTACCCCGTCGTCCAAGTCACCCTCGGAGCCATGCGTCTAATCCCCACATCGCAATACTTCCCCCTACGCTTCCAACTCATCCGCTCGCTCCTGCGCATCGCCCAAGCAACCTCCACCTACATCCCGCTCGCGCCCGCCCTCGTCGAAGTCCTCAACTCGGCTGAGATGAAGAAACCCCCCAAGCCCAGCACCCTCAAAGCCCTCGACTTTAGCATCAGCATCCGCGCAACCAAAGCCTTCCTGCGCACACGCATCTACCAAGACGGCATCGGCGAGCAAGTCGCCGAACTCCTCTCCGAATTCTTCATCCTCTGGACAAAAAACATCGCCTTCCCTGAACTCGCCCTCCCCGTCATCGTCATGCTAAAGCGCTGGGTCAAAGCCATGACGAAGAAGAGCTCTGGAAACAAAAACACTAAAGTCTCATCGCTCATCGCGCTGCTCGTCCAGAAACTAGAGGCTAATTCCCGTTGGGTCGAGGAGAAGAGGAATAAGGTTGAATTCGCACCGAATAACCGTGCGGGTGTCGATGGGTTCTTGAAGGATGTAGAGTGGGATAAGAGTCCGCTCGGCGCGTATGTCGCGGGTCAGCGTAAGAGCAGGGAGCAGAAGGCTAAGTTGCTCGAGGAGGCAAGGAAGACGGAGGATAGGAAGAGGAAGGAGGGGGAGAAGTATGATAAGAGGAACGGAGAGGAGTTTGCGGCGGATGAGGAGGAGGAGGAAGAGGAGGAGGTTGACCTCGAGGGGTTGAGCGATGAGGATTTGGAGATGGATGATGAGGAGGAGGAGAGTGATGATGAGTAGAGTGGTTGGTTTTTGTACTGTATCGGATATTTTGATGTTGGGTTAAACGGATATGTGTGTCTGTAGAGATGGACATGTAGTCTGTGATGGGATATGGCTGTGCAATGTAATGCGGCATGTTTCCCTGAATCTTTTTTTCTGGTTCTGTATGCGAGTGATGGCGAGTTCAATGTACAGACAGATCCTTTCCTTGACTTGATGACACGGTATGCTGAAGGTGTGCAATACATCAAACCTCGTAGTTACGTTGCTTGAAGGATGCTGTATGCCTTCAGCCTGCAGCATAACTAGGACACAACGCAGAAAAGAAAGGAAAGAGAGGGTGTTCCCACTTGCAACCTCTACTTGCGGTGATCCCGGGCAATCTAGACATGACAACCTTTTTCGTTGCTATACTACGCGCGATTACTTAGACTAGCGTTGATACAGAAACACTTGCTATTTTTATATACACCCCAAGGAAACTACATGTGTTGTCGTTGTGCAACAGACGTATCTGTCGTCAACTGACTAGTTTGCTCTCATCGGTTTCGGATGAGTGAACAACGGGTATCCTGATGAACGCCTGAAGTGAGAGACAAAGGAAAGAAAGGGAAAGAAAGGGAACGGTATATCCGCCGCCGCAACCTCCACCACCGCCATGTCATCCATCAACCCGAACAAGTTTTGCATCTGCCACAAGGACAGAAAAACCGTGAGACACACCCCAGAACAAACCATCTCCCGCCATGAAGGTGTGACAACACGACAAGACATGGCGCCACAACCTCCCATTCCCATTTCCATCCCTATCCCCGTCTTCGCCTACCAACCAACACCAACACCCTTCTCCTTCAACCGCCTAAACTCCCTACACTCATACTCCGTCGGCCTCTTCCCCTTCCCCTGCCAGCGAATCCCCTCCTGCCCCTCACACCTCTCCAGCCTAAACCGATACATAGCCTTCTCCCTATCCACGCACGTATACCCCCTAACTGTGTAAAGCCCATCGTATCTGAGCCCCAGTTCCGGGCGGTACGGATTCTTCTTGTTGAGCTGAGCAGACCGAATGACGCGAATGGGGTTGAGTAACTCGGCGGATTTGATCAGATGAGCGGTATTCTCCGTAGGCGTGGCGTTGCGGCCTTCGGTGCCGGAATATTCGATGATATCCCCGTTATCGACGTCGTGGTACGGGTTCCCGCCGGAGAGAACGATGGAATAAGCGCCTTTATCGCGCTCCCCGTAAATACCGCCTTGGGCAGATCCATGCGCCCCATCCCGCACAGTACAAAGCTGCGTAGGCCACCACTGCCCGAGCACCAACTCGCCCTCCCCATAATACTTCGCCGTCGTAGGAAACTTGGCACGATACGTATCATCCAGACGATCACTCGTCCTATTATCCCCTTTATGCGGCACAATTCCCCTCAGTATATCCTGATTCAAATCGTTCTTATACCATCTCTTATACAACTGATACGCATCCGCCTTTAGATCCCACGGGAACTTTGTGCCTGGTTTGAAGATGCGGGGCAGACCGTAGTCCGGGCTTAGGGTCATGGCTTTGCGGAGGAGGACGGTGTTGACTTGTAGGTCGATTTCGGCTTTGTGGATTAGGTCGCGGATCTTGTCGTAGAGGGTTTCGAGTTCTGAGGGGGTTTTTCCGGGCTTCTCGCTGTCGGTTAGGGCGGCTTTGAGGGACTGGAGGGTTACGAGGGCGAGGGGACGTTTTTTGGTCATGGCTTCCATGCGTGGGTCTTTGATGGTGATGGACGTGTACCATGCTGGGAGGGACTTTGCGATTGGGTATTTGTCGTCTGGATCGTCTGAGACGAAGAGGTCGTTTGACGGCACGATCTCCGAGTCTGAAGCGTTTGTTGGGGTTGCCGGTGTTGCTGGCGTTGCGGCCCTTGAAGTTGTAGCAGCCGTCCGCTCCCGTGAAGCGCCTGCAGTCGACGATTCTGCAAACGTCGCACTCTTTGGCTCGTCCTCAAGAGGGTCCTTCTTCTCGCCTTTCAGAGGCTCCCTCTGCTTCCTCATCTTCCACAAGCTCTGAACATCGATCTGCTCATTCGTCTCCTTCTCCTGTGGCTTCTTCTGGGTCGGGGTCGGAGTCGCAGACTTAGACGGCGCCTTGCCCAGCTCTTTTGTATTGACCTTCAGCTTTCTAGGCGTGTCGGCGTTCGACTGCGGCTTCTTTTGAATCTGGACTTGGACCTTCGACTTGCTCGGCTCTGTAGCACCCTCTTTTGCTTTATCAGAGGTGTCGTCTTTTGGCTTCTGGGAGACGGCTTCCTTCGCCTGGGACTTGTCTTGAACTCGAGGCTGGAGATTGTCTTGAACCTTCGCTTTCTTAGCGGGCGGATCGACGGGCTTCGCACCGGGAGATGTTGGAAGCTTACGCTTTAAACCCTGCTGCGCTGGCTTGATGACCTTGGGCGTGACGGCGATGGTGTCCGCCGCGACAGGTTGCTCCGCATTCTTGAACGGGTTCATTTGATGCTTTGCTCCCAGCTCCGTCATCTTCTTGCTGAGAAGACTCATCCTCCTCTGGTGCTCCTCGTTGTTCGCTTCCTTCTGCTCCTTCGTCTTTTGTAGGATCCTCGCGACGGCTTCTGGTCCAGTACCAGACGCCTTCGCAGCATTCTGGGCTTTCTCCAGCAGCCATGCTGAAGATTTGGGGACTTCGTTCTTGGTCGCTGCCATGGTGTTGCAGTTGATATTCTGCGAGGTGGGGTGGTCGTGTGTTTGTTTACAATGTCAGGCGCCAGCTGGCGTTTGCCATATACGTGCCGCGCTACCTCTAGGCTGCAACAACAGAAGTGCGGGGTAAAAGAGAGGAGCAGTGAATATGGATATCAAGAGACTGGTAGATGACGTGGAGTGTAATAGACCTCCGGTGCTAATCCGCTGCGGCCTCGTGGAAGCACGCGTGCAGGTAATTCTGAGTCTTCTTCTAGACCCTACTAGAAGCTGCGATATGTCTGTGAGACAGTTGCAACCGTGATAATTGAAACTACGTAATTGGCATCGAAGGTTGAATTGATGCTGAAGATGGATGGGAGGAAATAGGTGAGGTTTATATAGTATTCGATGGTTGACCGCAGGTGCTCGATGTCGCGGATGCCGCGCTAGTCTCTCATTATCGACGCGTCTTGATTGGCTGACGCGCTATCTCATTCAACATGGGTGTAGATATTTCTCTGAATTTACATTGGGCAATAGTCACAAGACAATGCACGTACAGTCACTAATACCTATAGCATGCCTATACGAAGGATGAAAGCGATGATCTTGCCTCAGACAAGTATATATTATAGAAGAACAGTCATTCTTGCATACCTAGGTACTACTAACGCATGTTAGAGTCACAGTATTGTGTGTCCAGAGGCTATGCAATGCAGATATACAGAGTGAGTTACAGTAGTCCAGATAACCTTACATATCTACCCCTACATAGGGAAAGGCTCAAGTGGAACAAGACAACGCATTTGACGCAAGCCTAGAAATGGCAGTTATGCCGATACGGTTTGATACAGTTCTGATCTTTCCGAGTTCAAGCCGAACATGCTCGTCCTTGAAACGAGCTTACTCATGATGGTCACATGCAGCATATCATGTAGCAAGCACGGGAACATCGGACGCAGTGTGTTGAAATGATCCATGCGTGCTTGACTGGCGACGACTGCCAACCAAATCACTACGTGAAATGCTCTTACAATATGTTGTAGTCTTATGTAGCCGTCTGCTGAGTTGGTAAGTTCTGTCTCCAACCCCACCTACCATCAGAAAGTAGACCATTGGAAGAACACATCATCATTCGCAAACTCATCTCTATATACCCGGGTATGTCCACTCCAAAGCCAAAACCCAAAACGCTATGCCAAACGCCATCCCTTCATTCCCAATCCCAATCATGAACTCATCCACCACCCCCTCAAACCTTCCCCTCAACAACCTGCCCCAACGCCTCCCCCTCAACCACCGCATCCCCCGGTCCCTTCCCCTTACTCCCCACCTTCTCCAACGGACTCATAACCTTCTCCTCCCCCCTCCTCTCCTCCCCATCCACACTAACATTAACCCATCCCCTCACACTATCCTTCGTCCTACTCAAAATCGTAGTATCATGAACCAAATTCCAGCTCTTCGCCGGCGGCCCAGCCTCTTCCTCCAATTCCAAATCCGCCGCACTCGTATTCGCAACCCTCGCCCCATTCTCCCTCAGCATCTGCAGTATCGCGCGTGTGTTGAGCCTGAGTACGCGTTCAGGTTCCTTTGCGCCGAAGACTTTGGTTGTAACCCAGGGGAACAGGACGCCGAAATCGGATTGGGAGAGGTGCGCTGAGGCGATGGGGTAGAAGATGTGGGGGCCTGGTTGGTTTGTGTGTTTCGAAGATTGGGGAGAAGGAGGAGATAAGATGGATTTCGTTTCGCGGAAGTTGGAGGACCAGTTGTAGAAGCCTTCGGAGGCGATGGCTAGCAGGTTTTTGCCGCCAGAGGGGGCATCGTAGCATGGCATGGGTTTGGAGCGGAGCCAGCTTGTGGCGGGGCTTTGGATGGGGAGGGTCCAGAGGTCGAGGAGGGTGACGGAGTTTTGGGGTGTGATTTGTTGGACTAGGCTGGAGTCTGAGGAGGGGGTGTAGAGGGGTTTGTAAGACGGGGTGGATGTTTGGGGGCGGTGGTAGACGGATTTTACGAATTGCACCATTGTGCATGCGCCGAAGGAGTGGCCGGCGTAGCTGATGGAGCCGGGATCGTGGACGTTGAGGATGTTGGAGAACATGCTGAGGAGGTTCTTTCCCTTGGGTTGGTCTTGGGCTACGTTCTTGAGTTTACGTCCTTCGTCGATTTTCAAGACCGCATCGTGTACCATGCCCAACTCCCATAGCCGTATCTTCAGTTGCTCGTCTCGTGCCTCGTATACTTCTGTGCTCGCCTTGTGCGCAATGGATCGGTAGTCGACGCGCTTCGTCTTCTGCTTGTCTTCCGGTGTGTGGTGTATGGCGAGAGGCGAACTGCCATCGCGATGGTCTGCTGCTACCACTACGATTCCGTGACTTGCGAGTGAGCCGCAGATGTGCGAGTATGCGTTCCGTGTGCCTCCTAACCCGTGGGAAAACATCATAACGGGCCATCGATCGGACTTCGGCGGGGGAGCGAGGAGTTCGGCGTTTTGGTGTACAGGCATGGAGATATAGTAAAGCAGTTGTGGCATCAATCTAAACAACTGTCAGTACCATGCTCATCCCAATCGCGTCTCTCATCGTACTTACGAGAAAACACTCGCAAACGCGCTGTTCGCCCCCAGAAACCTCGCATAAGCACTAATATATTCCCTCTGCGGACTCGGTATCCATCTCACAGCCTTCTCATTGCTGTCCTGTTTACACGGGTAGAAGATGCGGAAAGCGACAGTTGGTAGATCCGCAGGAGGCGCATCCGCGCTCGGGCTGTCCAGGTCGCTTGTGGGTATCTCTACATCCACAGAGCCGACTTTGTACGGTCCCGTATGCGGCGGGAAGCCCGGCGTGGGATTCAATCGATGGAGCCACGACATATCGGCAATCGCAAGCGGGTTCGCTGTTCCAGCCGGAAGTCGCGAGGGGAGAGCGCGGGTAAGAGATCTAAACGCGCGTGAGAACGACAGTATGATTGTCAAAAAAACGTAAATATTAATCTTCAAACGAGTCGTAAATCTGGTAAAGAAACGAACAGGCCGTAAGAATGGGGTGAAAGTAGTGGAAGAAGTCTAGATCAGAAACGGAGCCGCACGCACGCCTATATCATGGAAATCTGAAGAACATGCCAGTGACGCACAAAGCCCATGCTAACACGCTACTGCCAGGGCACTGGGGCGTCCACCCTCGGAAGGGCACGCGACCCCCGAGTGCTAGCCCGCCCGCCGGTGCCATCCATGACTGTGGCAAATGTAAATTTGCGACATGGAGATGCCGAGGTTTCGGACGCGTTACGGCGGATCCAGAAGTTTCCCCAACGCGTCAGCATGCAAGATATGGGACATACTGTGGGAATTCTTCGGAGTGTAGGAATCTGGATTGATGGATGCTATCGGAATTCTGCTGGATCGAGCTCGGATGGCCGTGGGGAGTGGCTTGGAGCGTGATCGCGTGCGCATGCATTATCCTTTTCCATGATGACGACACGCCAGACGTTTAGATCCGCGCATGCGCGAGATCGCGCTAGGCTTCACGTCGCCGCATCTGGCCACAGCACAAAACCTCCGCGCCGCGGTACTCTACGGATCAACCATCTAAAGTTTTAGTTCGAATAACGCGTTGTTCAGTCTGCTACGGAATTCCGTTGACTTCCAAATCTGCACATCGAGCCCGTCCGACTATTGCCCCGAGGTAAGAACTATCGATGCAGGGTGGTGAGATAAAAATGCCCCGATGTAATTCCGACATGGTGGGTGACATGTGATCGTCCTGTAGCACGCGAGTAGCGCGCGATCGTGAGGTAGACTGGACGTGATGCTGCATCAGTGATGTGGGTTTATTGACAACTCATCGAATGAAGAAATATAATGCGTACGAGTTGCGTCGATCGATGATGTGAAGCCCAACAGACAAGGGAATTAGAGATTATCTGTGACGGTGGAATGTCGATGCAAGGCATGACAACAAAACGCCGTCAGGTAGACATACGCAACAATGGTAATGCAGGGTATACCCTGAACCCCTCGTACTCACTGAGTGAAGTTTTACAAGTCAAAAGAGCTCGTTTGATCAGCCTTGGTCCAATAATCCCCTAATCCACATTACATCTTCAAGCTATCCATATATCCAAAGAAAGAAAACACAAGCGTAGACCGCACGTACAAACTACACAACTCGAAAAACCATCTCAATCGCAACAGAAGTTTCAATAGAACGGATGTAGAAGATCCTTCCATGTGCATTACATCGTCAATCTATATATCCTCCAAAGAAAAAAACACCGTGGGTATGCCGCATATACAAACTACACAATCCGAAATCCACACACGCTACCACCTCCTAAAGAAACGTCCACACATTAGCCGTACTCCCATCTCCATTCCATTATATCAACAACACCCCCCTCTCCTCCTCCCCCCACCCCCACCAAGTCTAAAAACATCCTCCCACTCCCCCAACGCACCACCAGCCTTCTTCCCCCCTCTCCTCCTCAACCTGACCCCTTCATCTCCAAACCCACTCCTCACACTCCCGCCGCCGTCATCCCAGCCCAAATCGCCGTATTGAATCCCACTGGCCGGATCATCAGGATCGATCTCTCCAAGTTCAATCTTAGTGAGAATCATGCGCGCCAACCGGGAAAACAATTCCTCCACGTTCTCTCCGTTTAGCGCGGAGACTTCGACAGCAACGGGGATGCCGTTCTGGCCAGCCCAGCGAGAGGCGGTTTCGGCGGGGACTTCGCGGCCGTCAGGCGCAACGGTATAACTCGCGTGGAGATTGGCGTTGAGGGAGGGCGTGCGACTAGCTTGCGACGAGGGCGTGGGTGGAGGGAGACCAGATTCCGATGACGGCGTGCTGGCATAACTGCTATATCCTCCTCCCCCTCCCCCTCCTCCACTATTCATGCCAATGGGTACACCCCCATCCTCAACATCCGCCTTATTCCCCGCCAATATAATCGTAATATCCGGCCCCGCCAACGCCCTCGCATCATCCAGAAACGTCTTCAGCTGCTCGAAGCTGCGCCAGCTGCTCACGTCGTATACGAGGATAGCGCCTGCGGCGCCGCGGTAGTAGGACCGTGAGACAGAGCGGAAGCGCTCTGTGCCAGCTGTGTCCCATAACTGGAGTTTTATCCGTTTGCGCGACGAGGGGGACGAGGGCGAGCGTTGGCGGCGGTCGGCGATGTGCACGATTTTGGAGGAGAATTCTACGCCGATTGTTTGGCTCGAGAGGACGCGCCCTGTGAGTGAGGGAGAGGGTGTTAGTGGGGGTGCTGATGGCGGTGGGAGGGAGAGGAGAGGAGATGGGGGTAAGATTACATTCGGATTTTACGAAGCGGTGGAGGAGGCAGGATCTATACGCGTATCTTGGTTATTATTCGGTGTTTTGGTACATGTCTTCGCTCTTATCGCGAACTTACTTGCCAGCGCCGCTGGGTCCCAACAGCACTACCTTGGCTAGGTAATCATACATACTCCCCAGCTCCTGCGTCTACTCAGCACAGTCCTGCCAAGCTCAAAAAGTGCCCATACCTACTTGTAACGGCGGCTCGCTGCTCCGCGTCGACGCATTCGACACGGCTCGGTTCCTGCCCATGGTGAACGGCGGCAGCGGCCTCGTTTGACGTTTCTGGCGGCGGGCGGATGTAGGTCGTGGGATTTCGGTGCTATTCACGGTCGCATGTGTGTTCCGAGTAAGCTCCACGAAGCGAGCAAGGGCGAGTAAGGCGTGTTCTAGTGGGATAGCGGTTGCGGTGTTGTGTTGTTCATCTTGGCCTTATCTTTGTGACGCCAATTGGTGGACCCTGGCCCGCCGCGCTTTCGCGACTTCGTCACGCGCACGGCAAGCTGCCGACGTTTGGCTGCTTCAGGTAAGTATCTGGGCTATCGCATCACGATTTCCTATATGTTTGCTAGCTTAACGAGTAATGTCATTGAGTTAACAGATTTGATCTTCACATGACATAAAGGTTGCTGTAGCATAGATCGGATTGGATTCATACGAGGCTTGAACAACAGTGTCGGGAGTCAAGAGCTATATACAGGGACTCCCAATTAGGAACAACGGAAATGCGACGACATACAGACAAGGAAAGAACCAAGAAAAGGTGGTATCCTAAACGCTACGCCAATACTAACAACATCTGCTCAAATACGCGTGAACGAGATTACTGCTGCTCCATATCCCTCAAAGGCATATAACTTGTCTCCTCCTTGTTCCGCCTCCTCGCGGCCCACGCATCACTGACCCAGTCCTTGAGAGTGGAAAAGACGCCCTTGTGGCCTATCTTCTCCATCTCCGCTTCCTTCTCATCGATCGGCGCACCAGGATCAAGGACGCTGACCTTCATCCAGCTAGGCCTGTGCCAGAACTTGAGATGCAGAGAGCTCATGACAACGCTGACGGATGAGCATGCCATTGCGGCACCAGCAGCCATGGGGTGTAACGAAAGACCCCATGGAAGAAAGAAACCCATTGCGAAAGGAAGACCGATAAAGTTGTACATGCACGCCCATGCCAGGTTAAGCTTGATGCGGAAGAAGATGGCACGGCTGAGGACTAGTGAGGCCGGGATAGAGAGGAGATCGGTGTTGGTCATGAGGACGATAGAGGCAGCTTCCATGGCGACGTCTGTACCAGTAGAGAGAGCAATACCAATGTCGGCCGAGGCGAGCGCTGGGGAGTCGTTGATGCCGTCACCGACCATACCGATAACTTGGCCACGCGACTGGAGGTCTTCGATGATAGCTTTCTTGTCGGCGGGGGTAGACGAAGCGTGAACATCTGCGGGATCGATACCAACTGCAGCTGCGACGACAAGGGCGGAAGCAGAGGTATCACCAGTAACAATCGATGATGTTATGCCTAGACGAGAAAGGGCAAGGATTGCAGCGCGGGCAGATGGTTTGATGGTGTCGGACATGCTCAGTGTACCAGTGTAGGTGTTGCCGATGGCGGTATGAATCGTGGTGATACCAGCGGATCGGTTTTGGGGTCCAGCTCGAGGTCTGGAATTGGCAGCGGGTGTGAGCGGCTCTTCTACGAAGTCGGGGACGTTAACGCCCTCGGAGGTGAGGAAAGCCGTGTTACCAATGAGGACCTTGTAACGGGTACGCTCTCGAGAGAGGGCTGCTTCGACCGTTGCGATGATACCCTTACCGGTGACAGCTTCAAAGTCTCCGACTGAGCCATCCAGGCTGCCATCGGGTCCGAGACGGAGATGCTCCTTGGCAGACAGAACGATAGCCTTAGCAATAGGATGCTCTGAGCCCATTTCCGCAAGTCCAATGAGAGTCCACCAAAGATTCTTCTTATCAGGGCTTGCCCAGCCTCCCTGAATGTCTGCCTGAGATACACTCATCTTGCCAACAGTGAGCGTGCCAGTCTTGTCGAAGACAACATGGTTGATCTTTGTGGCAGTCTCGAGAGCGGCACCACCTTTGACGAGAATGCCATTCTCAGCTCCAACACCAGTACCGACCATGACAGCAGTGGGTGTTGCAAG